GAATTGCCTAGATATCTAAGAAGATGATAACTGGAGGCAACCTTTCATAGATTACTTCAAAGAAGGTAGGCTACCAACAGACAAATCATTAGCCGCTCAAATCAGAAAGAGAGCACTACGATATGCATTTGTCAACAACACATTGTATCGACGTGCTTTTGATCAAATGTAGCTAAGGTGCCTAGGGACCAAAGAAGTTGATAAAGTGGTAGCAGAAGTTCACGAAGGACTTTGTGGAGCGCACCAATCAGGTCCCAATATGACAGTCAAAATCAAAAGAATGGGCTATTATTGGTCGACCATGGTCAGAGATTGTATCAATCATGCTAAGAGGTGTCAGGAGTGCCAGATTCACGGTGATGTTATACATCAACCGCCAAATCCACTGCACCCTACGATAGCATCCTGGCCATTTGAATGTTGGGGTACTGATATTATCGGGCCGATAGATCCGCCTGCCACTAGAAGTTGAACTTCCATCTCTTCGAGTTGCTGTCCAGAATGAGTTGACTCAGGAACAAAATGCTCGATTAAGAATGGAGGAGCTCGATGCACTCGATGAAATTAGGTTACAAGCTCAACAGAACCTGGAGATCTACCGAGCAAGAATGACAAAGTCTTTTGATCGAATGGTGCGTCCTCGATCATTTCAAGAAGGAGAATTGGTCCTGGTGCAGAGAAGATCAATCATCCCACACCGAAAAATCGGTGGCAAATTCGTATCCAACTGGAAATGACATTTCGTCATCGAGAAGGTGTACCAGGGAAGAGCTTACCAACTCATCAATCTGAATGATCAGAGGCCCATGCCGCCGATCAATGGCCGATACCTGAAGAAATACTACGCATGAAATATTGTGCTTAATGTGTTATGTTTTCATACATTATTGTTAGCATATACATTTCATGTTTTGAAATTCTCTTATGTCATGAGAACACATTTCAAAATTCTCCATCAGATTGGGGGCATTTTAAATATTTGTTCGGGTCGACATCGCGCTGCGTGCCAAGATCCCCAAACAAATATTTAAAATCTCAAGATTTTAATTCTATTCTGCTCCAAAATGTCCCTGCAAGACAGGGGGCATTTTAAATATTTATTCGGGTCGACATCGCGCTGCATGCTAAGATCCCCGAATTATCAATTCATATGTCTTTTGTGCTAAAGAATATAAAGATCTTTTTCAAAGTATACGCAGGTGACCTCTCAAAAGATCGAGACACCTCCAACAAACCAAGGTTTAAAAGTCAAGAAAGAGACTTTTGAAACTACACACTACTACAAATTGAGCCGAAAAAGCTTGAAGTCTTTCGACAGCTTAAAGCTTAAGGTTCGAATGGATGTAAAAGGTCGGATCCAACACGCCCAAATATGGCCGGATCGCTGGCAGCTCCGTCTACTCAACAAGCCATAAGAAAGGCCGTAGTAGCGGAGCCCCCACTTCGTCAACTCGTCAGTAGGGACTGTAGGAAGAACGAAGGCAAATTTGACTCGACCAGTTCAAGTGATCGTAGTCTACAAAGTTCTCCAAAATGACTGGAGAATCAAAGTTCCAGTGGAAGGATGAGTCTCGAGCAACTACTGAATGTTCGTAGGCTCCAAAATCTACAACCACAAAGGATGATTCAAAAATCTGTCAACTTCAGCAAAATCAGTATTGGGAAGCGCAATCCCCATAGCTCAAGTCTGAAGTCTGAATGAGTATAAGAGGTCGGATCCAACAAGCCCAAATATGGCCGGATCACTGGCAGCTCCATCTACTCAACAAGCCATAAGAAAGGCCGCAGTAGAGGAACCCCCATCTCAGCAACCAGAGGACGAAGAGCTGTCAAATCCCAGCTCTCCCGATCTGATGAACTCAAGTGACTCAGATTAAAGTTTTCTCAAGTGGTTAAGGATCACAATACTACCTACGTTCGGTACTTTCAAATGAATCCAAAACCTGCAAATCCTTCAACAAATCCACAAAGCACAAAGCGAGGATCGAAAGAATTTTTCTTCAACAAGTCTGCCAAAGCAACAAAGCAAAGGACCGAAGAAAATTATCCCAAAGTTCATGAAAAGCCTTAGGCTGAACTAAAAGGATTTCGTCATCAACAAGTCCGTTACGCACAAAGCACTGGACCGATGACTTCTCGCCATCGACCTAATACAAACCTAAAGGTTTAGATCACCGGCATCTACCCCTTCATCAAGCCCGCCAAAGCTAGAAGAAAAGGACAGAAGGCATACGAATCATCTGACAAGTCAGTGCAGACAAATCAGATAACCCTTCACTAAGTCCGCAGCACAAAGCACAGGACAGAAGGATCAAAATCTCAGGGCTCTAGCTAAAGCTGCAAAATGAGTTCCCTGAATGACATCTACAAATATCCCTAAATACTTGGGGCATTTTAAATATTTATTTGGGTCGACATCGAGCTACATGCAGAGATCCCCAAATAAATATTTAAAATTCTATCAAGATACAACCAGATGATGAAAGAACCTTGAGCGACGCTATCCACCAGCGATGATCTACAAAGACATGATATCAACCATTTATGAATACATTCAAAAGAGCAATGGAGAAAGAAGATTAGTGTCACATCCAAGCAAAATTTTGGAGATCCACTAAAAGAAAGTACTGTGACATCCAAGCAAAATTTTGGAGATCCACTAAAAGAAAGACTAATGTGACATCCAAATAAGTTTTGGAGATCCATTAAAGAAAAAAATCTCAGTGTGACATCCAAACAGATTTTGGAGATCCACTAAAAATGAAAACCCTAGTGTGACATCTAGAATAAATATCTAGAGATCCACAGGGTCAATTAGCATGCAACAAATGTGGCTCGCTCCAGGCGCGTACCACATTTGTTCGGGGGCATTTGTTGACCCGTAAGCTGAGACAAAAAAAGAGAAAAAATCAAAATCAAATCCACGTACCTGCTCTGCGCCGAACCACGCACGTCGTCGCCACTCCTCACACGACCGAGCATCGCATCTCGCACGTCGCTTGCACGCCTCACCCTGACCGATCTTTCCTTCGTGTCAATAAAATGAAGGGGAGGTGAAGCTTTCGGGCTTCTTACACACACGAGCTCTTCTCCTCTCCTCCCTGCCGCACGCTTCTCCGACCAAATCCCATCGATCCACTGTCTGTGCCGACTCCAAATCGAGAGAGAG